CCTGGGGCGCGGGGGGTGGGGGGCCGCAGGCTCCCACGCCTCCCCTGATGAAGGGTGCTGGGCGCCAGGCCTCCGCGGCAGGTCGCTGGAGACAAAGCAGGCGCCGGAGCCCCGAGCGCATCTGCTTTTCTCAGCAACTCAGCCCGGGGTCGCAGGACACCGGCAACCCTGGCCCCCTGGCGGCTGCTCCCAGAATGACAGGCCCAGGCCGAGGGTGACAGCCCCTGCAGGTCCCAGAACCTGGCGGCAAGCCTGGGCCCTGCGATTCTTAGAAGGACCGACACCAGGCTTGGCGCGGTCATTGCGCCACTGAAAAGGCAAGTGGGTGGAGAAATGCCCGCCGGCTCCGTACGTGCTCCTTAAGGCTGGGAAACGATGGGGCCGCAGAGGGTCGCCCCTCTGCCCAAGAACTCCTCCTGCCAAGGCGCCCTTGCTTTAAAATTCAGGCCAGGCGGGAATGCAACTGTGAGCGCCTCCTGTGTCTTCCTCACACCTGTTCCTTTAGCCCTAGCACAGCACCTGGCATACAGTAGGTGTTTAATAAATGCTTGTTGCATGTGTAGTGATTGCCATAGGCAGGCTTTTCGCTCCAGGCTCCTTTGATTTCTCCTTTCCTCGTCTCCCCCTCCCCCCTCTCTCCTCTTTCTCTTCTTGGTCCATCTTCTTTGTACCGAGCAGGGGTTGCCCAGGTCAAATTCAGTATCTTCTTTGAGCCACACAATGTCTACAAAACTAACGTCAACTTTTTAAAATTAGGAGATTTTTACATACAATTATGGATTTCTAATTTCTCTTTTTTAAAAAATTTTTTTATTGATTTCAGGGAGGAAGGGAGAAGGAGAGATAGATAGAAACATCAATGATGAGAGAGAATCATTGATCGGCTGCCTCCTGCACGCCCCACCCTGGGGATCAAGCTCGCAACCTGGGCATGTGCCCTGACTGGGAAGGGAACCGTGACCCCCTGGCTCATAAGTCGACGCTCAACCACGGAGCCACACCGGCTGGGCTCTAATTTCTCTTAAAAAGTTTGAAGCTCTGGCCAGATGAGGCTGGGGGAAGCTCACAGCCAGGCTCTGCCACTTACCAGCTGGGGGACCTTGGACACGTCTCCCAGTCTCTCTCTGCTTAGTCTCTCATCCGTTGAGTAGGGATTATAATAGCACCCACTGCATTTTGATATCTGACATTTACAGAGCCGGTACCACAGTGCCCAGTACGGGGTGAGTGGCATAAAGATTGCTACATGAATGAAGACATGAATACAATTCTTGACTGCCCCCTCAGTCTGGCACCCTCATTTCTGCTGTGGGTTTGGTCCCTGTAGGCAGTTGGGTTTGTAACCTGCCCCCTACGCAAGTCTTGTTTAGCGC